GGGGTAGGGTGGTAGCTGTTGTGTGTGGCGTGGTGCTCACTGGTGTAACATAGGTATTGAATATGTGGATTGTAAATGTGCCACTGTGCCAGGACGTGGGGAAGGGAGAGGAGAGAACCAATAGTTGGAGTTGGGCTGACACGTAGATAGTTTGGAGACTAGGCAGAGCAAATAAAGCAGTACTTCCATGCTGCATAAGGCCTATGGTAACTTGTAAATGTTCCAGGTGTTTGATAATAAAAGTCCTTTGGAAAAGAAAATAGCCTCTACTGCCATCTTTTTCATTTCCTTACCATAAATGGACGATACAATCACTTCCAGACCTTCTTTCTCCAGGTCCACAATCCTAACTTTACAAGTTGTCACAGCCACTTTCATAGCAAGTGTGTTTCTCAAACTTGCATGCCTACATTTCACAGCAAGTCTGTAGGGAAAGGGGTTACTTCTGGAGAAGTTAAGCTGCCTTCTCCCCTAGCTAGTAACGAAGCCTAGGCCTTAAATTATCCTAAATATTTCTCTTCCCATCAGCTGTCTGAAGCTACGAACAGTGCCAGCATCCACCTCAGGACTGCACCCCAGGCTGCACATATTCCTCCCTGAAGAGCCACTAAGCATGCCCAGCAGGGCTGGCTCCTCACAACAGGCAGCTCCAGCTGTCGCTTATGAAACACCTGAAGGGCAAGAAATAATACAGGTATGTGCTTTCCACAGCCCATGAATTACACTACAGCATGGACATATTAAACTGCTAATAGGCACCTACCACAGAAGTCACACCAGAGGGCTGGAGTTTATATTCATCCTGTTTGGTTAGTTTCTGGAAGAAACTATACCTGTGGTAGTAAGGCAAAGATAGGCATACAGTATTATTATCCAGGTAATACAGAGCTGTATTTAAATAAAAGCATTAAAAAAAAAAAAAAAAGGCTCTAATTTCCAGTTTACTTTTGTGTGAATCAATTTTCTGAAGGGTATCCAAGTGTTCGTCTGCATGGCACTGCTTCACAGTGCCCAGGATAGAGACCCTGGCTTTCAGCATCAACTCTCCCATGAGAAGAATAGAAGTGGGGGCACGCAGCATGAGTTCTGTGATGCTGCCATCACTGTAGAGCTTTTCTAAAGAGAAAAGGGCTGCAACTCTCATTTTGCCCCGGACACATGACAGTGAGTATCCACTGCTTCATATCCTTAAAGGGCAATTTTGAAGGGAGAGTTATGTGGTGGGGAGGAATGTTAAAATCACACATGCCTCCTAGAACAGCAAATGCTTTCCATTATACTGTAATAAAGGACAGACAAGGCTCAACAAGGAGCTGCTAACTTCCCAGCCAGCTTCAGCTTTTTATTCCAGTACTTGCTATAAAATGTATTTTTGCAGATGGTGTTACAGAAAGCTCAAATGAAATCCTGCCCTTGCTTTTGTTTTACTCAGCAAGCGTGAGGCCTGCAGCAGTGAAATGCTTCTGCCCTCTATAAAAATCAGTACGGTAAGTATTTTTCATAGGAAAAAGCAGGAGGTTTTTTAATTTTTTCAGCGTAGCAGCACGATGCTCAGAATAAAAATGTCTTCAGAGCTCATTTTGTGACCACCTGCCTCATAACAACACCAAGGCTACAAGTCTCTGCAGCTCCCTTGCTCTCATCTTGAATAAGAGCTGCATTAGCTCAAGCAGTGACAGTTTCCCCTCGCCCCTAGGCCAGCTGAGGGAAGAAGTGACCCACTTACTCAATTTGCTGAAAGGCAGAAGCTGCTGCAAGCTTATTAGAACGCTCTCTCTCAGATAACAATTAGATCAGAAGTAGGTAGTGTCACTTGAATCTTTCCCGCTTAATAAGCTTAATGTCTCTCCAAAGCAGGCATTGAATTTAGCTTGTATGGGTTGTGATGGTCTCCACGCATAACTGAGACCCTGCTGGATGTGTCAGAACTGAGGCTTCAGGCACTGCTCCCCTTTTTCATCTCCTGCCTCAGCACCTGTGGCTCCGTGCTCCTTCATCACCTGAGATACGATTTGCCAAGTCCAAAAGTCCATTAAATCAGTTAGCAGAGGACCAAAAGAGCCAAGCCTTCCCCACAACACGCTTTTCCCAGATCACTTGTGCTAATCACAGAACCCTGCACTTGAATGCTAAGCTTGAGATGCCAGAAAGAAGTTTTACTGAAGAAGAAAAACCCTTTCACCAGGTTTGCACAGCAAGATAGACTTTATCAGTTCAAGAGAGAGCAACAAAAATAATTCTCAGGGATGAGATTCCTTTTTCAACTTTTCTAGCCGCAACACAGAAATGTTTCTAGCTGTTCCACACATTACAGTTTTCCCTGTAGATCACACAGCATTACCCTTTCCCCCCTATAATTTACAATATTACAAGAGGATATTTGAAAAATAATCATGATATATAATGTGGTATCAGTGGTACCATAGCAATCTGTGTCAATGCTTTCTGCGTGAAGCGTGCTCACTGCACGCTGCATTTCCATTCCACTGGTGGCATCCACTGGAGTTACTACTTGCCCAGGATGGGCTCAGCCTAAACTCTTCTTCATGAGCCACCAGTCACTGATGTCTCAAGATAGCACCACTACACAGGACCAGACTTTTAAAGGAACTGCAAGTCTAACAATGTATCTAGATGCTAATTTCAGTGTTTTAGTTAGCAGCCCTTCGTCTTTCAGGTGTTACAGACCTGACCAAAGCTCCTTCATCCTGAGTTCATGTCCTTCACCATCATCAGTAAAAATATTTCTTGCCCACACGGTAATTACTTGTGTCAGAATGAAGAAGAATGTTAAAGAGCAAGCTTGCACAACCTGACTTCAGTGACAGCAATCTTGTTCTTAGCTGCAGAAACCACCCACAATAACCCTTACAAGAGATTGCCTCTTGTAAGTATGGCTTGTGAACAAGATGACACGCTTCTGATGAAGAATAACTGGTCACATCAACACAGAGGAACCACACAGGCACGCAACACTGAAGAGCAGCACCTAAGCAGACATGTTGAAGTCTCCACCTGCCCTGTGACAAAAAGGCCACCTGTATTTACATCTAGCAGCTAAATGTTTAACAAAGTGGGGCATACAGAGCCACACGTGGAAAGGTTAATGAGAAGGGACTTCTCTCTCTAACCTTAAGTACTGTTTCAGTTACGATGCACCTTCGTACAGATTTGAGATTCTCACAGCACCCAATCTACCTCTACTGCATGTCCTGAGGCAGCTGGTACATGGCTGTCACTCACTGCGTGGCCAGGGGAGAGAGCCAAAGGACCATCACCAGCTGGAGAGTGGGCAGAAACTGCAAGCATGGCTGAGGGCTGTTTGTCTAGCAAGCAGCAGCAATCTGTGCCTTCATTCCTTCTGTTCTCGCCATTACATGATGAAATCCTGGATCTAACTTAAGAGGAGGCGGTTGTCAGCTGGAGATCCTTATCTATTTCCAGGAAGGTACTCTGCCCTCAGTTGACTTCCAGGGTATCTAAATTAGGTGTGGGAAAGGTCTTAACTACAAATACGCCAGCGATATACATTTCATGCTGTGAGATACAGCATCTCTCCTTCACACACGATCAAGTAACAGCCACTTAGAGAATCATTTCTTACAGAAAAGACTTAGAAAAGTGGGTTTAAAAATGCTACTGCTTTTGTCTTGGTTGTCTCCAGCCTATTCTACTCACAAAGCACTGCCTGCCTGCCTCTTCACCCTGCTCCACTTCCTTTACTCAGTAGTTGCCTCACAAACTTCCAAAAGCATATTGCCATCGACTAGCTTCCCCCACTTGGCCTTCTGGTCTACCTCTTCCTTGGCCATGGCCTTCTGACCTACTTCCTCCTTGGCAGCACAAATCCTCTCCCTTTTCATACACCTCCCCCTTTGAAAGAGCCTTTCTCCCTCATTTCAAGGCTTGGAAACACAGTTCAACTGTAGGAACCTTTTCTTCCTTGGGCTAACTGCTGGTGGAAGGGATCGCTGCCTTCTACACCCAAGTTGTTTCCCTGCTTCAGCTTTGTTCATCCCTTTGTTCTTAAATTCTGCTTCCCTGCTTAGAGTATCTAACAAGTCTCTTCTTCAGAAGAAACACAAAGCCCCCCACATGCTAGCCTGGCTGTATGGAACTTTGCACACACACACTGTGAGCTGACAGGAGTCACTAGCTTGCTTGCACATTCCCACATTTCTCACCATTTGAAGGCAAGAATAGGCTTACTGCTAGGACTCTGCAGGTAGCTTGTTTTTCAGCTTTAGAAGTTAATATCAAAAAATAAACTTTAGTGCAGCTGTTTACTGCTGGCCTCCTCTACAATTAATGAAGACCTCAGTTCCAGATGTCTGTTTAAACTGCTCCTCTGGGCATGAAGGACATAAATGGTCATTTAGGCTTTGATTACTTTGAGATTTACCGAGTCCCTGCTGTGATGACTTCCCAGCATCTGGAACTGGAGGTTCCTCTTGGAACCTGGGTACCCACAAGCCGATGGGCTGCTCCTGTAGTGACAGCTGTAGTACCACCTGTGGATCCCCATGCAAACAGGATGAGCTACTACACACACTTAGGCCACGCTCTTATATGCAGGCTGTAACTGTGGCGTAACTCTTGTATTGCATTCCCACCCGAGCTTCACCCTGCACCCACAGCTTACGGGCAACTATAAATACAAACCCTACTTAGATACTTACCTCACCCGGGGAGGGGGGGGGAGGAGGAGGGAAGGTTACCTAAAATTATTGACTCGTGTAGAAGCCAAAATATTAACAGTTGAAGATGTCAACAATAACAGCATCAAAAAGTGCAACTACTGCAAGCTTCTCAAATACTTCAATATTTCGGTGCACTGTGTGGGAGAGCTGCCTGCCATGTGGAGTATCAGAGTGCTGGGGAGCTCCACGTTACCACGCTACCCCAGCTACCTGAGGCTAAATGCCCAGACAGTTTCAAGTAAGCAGAAAAGGAACGAAACGGCTGAAAGGAAAAAGTTAAAAACAGAAGGCAGACAAAACAAATTTCATTTCTATATTTCAGTAAAACCTACTTGAATACACTTTGAAACAAGAGTACAACAAAATAGAATATACTTCAAATGTTGAATATACAAACTATTATAGTTCATTCTGAACACTGGTACTTCCCTCTTAACTTCAACTAAAAAAAAAACAAATTTACAGGTTTAGAACTACCTGACAAAAGCTCATGCTGGGTGTGACCTTTCAAGTGACAGAGTAGAGCTGAAACTGAAATGTATGCACAGATGTCAAGGCTAAGTGAGAGACACAGGCATGTTACAGCAAAAGGCCAGAGGCCTGCTGCTATTTTGTCCACAATTAAGAAATTTAGACAGACTTTACCTACCATACAAAATATGTTACATGTAATTCTATAACAATACTGTGCTAGGTACAAGATTTTTAAAAAAATTTGTTTCAATAAAAAAGCTTTAAACAAACAAGCCATTAGCTTATTTCAAGAAAGATAATTGAAAATCAGTCTAAGGCTTTCATTTTAAATCTGCTTAAGCTATGATACAAAAATCCCTCTAGGTCTCTGTCTTCTTTTAGAAGCTCTTCAATCTCCTTTATTTCACATTCTACAATACCTAGTAGCAGAGGTTTTCACTTAGCACCAGTTGAGTACTGCGGGCACACAGTAGTGATTGCTGGTATGCATATAAAATTCATCAACTTTGCCATTTCTAGAAATGAGACTTTCCTCTTCCCTGAAAACCAAAAACCAAGGCAAACCTCTCACACAATTCAATTTTAGTGTTCCAGGTCTTAGTGTGCTGTGACAGCGTAGTGAACTGTTTGGTCCCTTTTCAGTCTCTCCATCGTTCCTTCTCCATGGGTTCAGCTGTCTCCTGACTGGAAGAGGCCATTTCTGTCAGCATAGCAATGTGGTTCCATTCCCACTGAAACACGGGAAAAATATTTCTTTTTCTCCCCACTAAGTCTCCAAAATAACGCATGTTTTTTAACACTTCCAAACTCTCCTTTCTGACATGGCGATCGCCTCCACTTCCCTCCCCAATTATGTCAGTTTAAGCAAAACAGTAACAGTCCGTAAGTCCACGTTGGAAGCAACCTGTTCTTCACTTCTCACACGTTAGGATTCCTTCTGTTTTCATTGTCACAGGAAGCGCGATAGCTGAGGGCGTACTAACTACTACTACATGGGTTACAGTCTTGCTCCCATCTGCCGTCTTCTCTTCCTGTAAGAGCTGCAGCGTTTTCACTTCACGTTCTTGTGTTACAGCTGCTGTGTCTGATTTCACTTCTGGGCTTTTTATTACTGCACTAATAACCCTGGGGGCAGTCTGGCCGGACGCCTGCTGCGCAGGCACCGATAGTCTCATCACTGGTGTCCCGTGAGCTATAGACACCGGGGTTAGTGCTCTAACAGCCAACGGGGTTCCAACGATGTTGATGCTTCCCGACCCAGTCAGGCCTGGTTTTGTTTGTACCTGACACTGCGTCAGCTGCGTGGCAGGGATCGTAATGATCTTGGCAGGCTGCATTGTGATTTTGTCTCCACTCTCGGTAGCGGTTGGCATCACAGTAGGGATTGTCTGGATTACTACCTTTGGAGTTGTTGCCGTTGTTGGACTTGTGTTGGTAATTAACGGCGACCCTGCATTTACTGACTGTACTGCCACAGTAGAAATTTTCTGTCCCAGAGAGGTCATGACAACAGGCACTTGCATTGCCACACGTACAGTCCTGCAAAACAGAAACGTGTATTTAAACCGTTAGAGCTGAAAACAGGGGTACGCAAATCCCAAATCTGCAGATTTCTAACTGGTTCTTTAAAAACAACGATGACAAAAACCTCCTGTCCATCTCATAATAGGAGTCTGTAGATTGAGCAGCATCCATCTCTCTCTTCTCTACGTGATTTTAAAATATGCTTGAGGGCAAGTGCACTGACAGGCGGCTGTCTCATAAACCACACTTTCACAGTATTCTATCACAATTCATGGCTGCCTGTAAATCAGAGAAGACTTCCAGCATATAAAGACACCGTCCCAATTAAAAAGCTGCTTGTCATTCATTGGTGAACAACAAGCCCAAGCCACATCAGTACAAACCTGGGAGCTGACGATGCTGGGACAGTAGTAGTGGTTGTCGAGGGGCGAGATGATGATGTATCGTGTGCTGGTGAGGCAATATTCACCACTCTGGTGACTGCTTTTTCTGTTCTGGTACAACTTAACTGAGACAAGTTTTTTCCTCCGCGTGCAGAGGTTGCTGCTTTCAGGAGGTTTTCTGCAGATAAAGACACTCTCTCCAATGACTTTTCATCTGTAGGCATTGACAAATCTTCACTGCAGGGTTCACTTTTGTCATCATCGATGACAACTATATTTTTTGGCATCTCCTTAAACTGATAAACAAGCCTCTGTCCCTCAACTTTGGCAAGGATTCCTCTTTGATAGTAGTATCTGCAAGAGAAGTACCATTAAGTAGTAACTGATACAGACTCTAAAGAAAAACTTGCTCTGTGCTAGCAAGAAAATCTAACATAACCACAGCCAAAAATAAAATGTAAGAAGGTATGGCAAGAAGCTGGCAGACCATGCATAGCATCTCAAATATCCAGCTTAAAAAAATCTGGCCTTTTAAACACAAATATCTAAAGGTAAATCGCAAATTAACTGGTAACATGGAAAGCAACAGGAACTGCAAAACCGCTGTTTAATCAGCCAAGTCAGCAGAAGGGCAGTTTTTAACACCTCAGAATTTGTGTTATTTCTATAGAGTTCAATTTAGACTTGAGGATTTAAGAGTCGGATATGAAATCGTAGTAGGAATTCAGCAGCTTAAGATTTTACCTCAGAGCTCTTCCCATGGTCTCATAGTTCATGTCAGGTTTGTTTTTGTGTTTTCCCCATAGTTTGGAGACAGCCTTCGAGTCCACAAGCTTAAAGATTCCTTTCTCTCGCTGAGTCCACTTAATGTAACGAGGACAAGTATTTTTGTCCTGGAGAAGGTCCAGAAGAAACTCCCATAAGTACGTTGTATTTCCTATAATCAGAAAGCATTTGAACATTAGAAATCCACTTTCAGCAGAAAATTCTCCATATATAGCTAACTCCAAATGACCTAAATTACAGGCAAACGCTACGCAGAGGATGGTGTGTAATGTAACCTGCAAGCATTCATTCATTCTGTTTAGTAAAGCTTTCATAAATATTTACATTCTGAAAGGAGCTAATCCTGGTGATCTGTTGTATAGCACAGGAGCCTCTTTAATTCCACACCCATTCCCAGTTCTTGAAAAGTGAAAAGAAGTAGAGGAGGGTGTTCCAAGTCAGTACAACCTACAGCTGCTCTGCACAGATAGGAAAACAGCTCAGAATTTTCTTCTCAGTTTCTTAAGCAGAGGATAGAAATGCCAGTGCATTTTAAGATGCTGATGTACAAGAAGATAGAAATAAATAATGTTCAAAGGCATACAACCTTCAATAACCAACCATCTCAAACAGCAATAAGGCCACAACCTCCTGTCCAGGATCATCCTGCTGACTTCACTGGGAATCAGCACCAAAGGGGCTCTCACACCCGCTGCTGACAGCCCTGTGTTCTGGTCCAAATGTATCTTGCAGAATGACCAAGGCCCTGCTAGGTGCAAAGCCAGTCCAGCTACTTCCTGCAAGGACTTACATGGCAGAAATGCCACGTACCTTCCTGTAACTGGGGAGGTACAGAATGAAGAAGCCTACAGAAGAAGAATTCAATATACTTCTCAGGCATTTTAGGGGAGTACAATTTCCACTGGAAGTGCCCCAAGACAATATTTACAACAATCACTATCAGGATGGCATAAAACATAATATGAGGGCTGCCTGGACTCTGACTATACCTAGGAAAAGGGAAAGAAAAGCAGAAGGAAAAAAGATCCCTCTTTTAATCAGTACTGCTGGAGAAGACTGCTAAAGCAATTCAAGAAAAGAAAACCAAGACAGATCTACAAGAGTAGCAACCTTAGAATGGCAATCTCAATTCATGTGATCATGCTTCCAAGCCACAAGCAGGTGCCATGGGCAAATTAAAACATACACCCCAATATTTTCTGTGTGCAAAGAAACCATTAACTCTTGAGGTTTAATGGCCCAGCACAGCACTTGTTACACCATGCTACAAACAACAAACAATATATTAAGGCAGCTTAAAGGCCACTCTTACAGATTCCAAGAAGTTAACTTCCTTAGAAAAATCTCATTATGGTTTTCATCTTCTGGATGATGATCTCAGAGACAGACTACCCAATATTTTAATAAGTGCTCCAGTAAACAGCAAGTACTGAGTCAAGTAATATGAAAATCCAGCTGCATTTCAGAGAAATCTGTGTAGGACTCATATGAGAAAAAGAGTCAATAAGAGTACTCCAGAATCCTGGAATTATCCTGGATAATCTTAACGCTGTATTTTAAGGACGTGAAGGATAATTTTGACAAAACAAACTCTTGCAGCTTTTTATATCATTCTTCTCAGTTCATTTATCAAGTCCGAACAATCTTCCCTAACTTATTAATCTCAGAATGCTGTTTGTAAGATGCTAAGTGTTTTAAGTCCTCATAATTGCAAATAACTAAGCGACCAGTAAGTTCCCATTTCACAAAGACTTCTACAAGAGAAAAAATATTAACTTGTAGTGTGTTCCTTGAAATTAATCCTGGGTTTTTTTGTTGTTTTTTTCCTCTTAGCTCCTTAGAAATAGAATTTCTGGGTTCACCAACAAATCCTGTAGAAGTCTGCAACAGAAATAAAAGTGACCTTCGAGAGAAATCATTCCTGAAAGTGCCTTATTTTTTCTGCTGGAACGGAGCTGCTGACTCAACAATTTTTCCTTTTTTCTTCAAACTCTTAATGACCTGAATAACGTTTTTCCACATGAGGGCTATGGAATAGTTATGCTACTCAGAGGCCATCTAGTATGCCAGTAAGCTCCAGCAATATTACAGGCATGCTGCTCTGCCAATTATGGTTGCTATGCATTTAACACAAAAGCTAATTTTAGAAATGTTTAACAGAACTTTGAACTATTTTTAAATCCTCTCTCCCTAGAAAACTAACCTTTCCTAATACTATGAATCCAAGCCTATGGACTTCTGAGGAAGAAAAAGACATGACTATAAAATGTATTAACTGAGCAGGTTTCCATTCATACTGCTCTCACGCAACCAAAATCCAGCATGGTAGACATAAACACATATTACATCTTGCACCTGTTTCCAGCTGTGTAGAACCAGCCATTCTCCTCCTCCACGACTTAACTCTGCTGAAAGCACTCAGCTCTAGCAATACTTCCTGTTTTTCCAGAAATGTTACATGTAAAATAACCTGCATATGGCAAATCATTTTTTGAAAGAAACAGTAAAAAAAATTAAGCCAGTAACAAAATATTTTGCAAGACTTAAAATTAACCTTCATGAAGAAAGAAAATGTATTTTATGCCTGCTGTGGTGTAAAATATGGACTGAAATACTTTGTGAGAACAACAAACATAAGCATCTCCTAAGCACCCATAGAAACTGGAAAAAAAAGAGTAGTAACATCTCACACTTCACAAAGCAAACAGCTAGGGAGAGAAATCACCAATAGAGACACAAACTGGAAGGGACAGAAACACAGCCTCCTTTCTGCAAGTCATTTCTGCAGCAACTAGGGCAGTTCACCAATGCTCTTCAGATAACGGAAAGCACCAATTGTAACATCAGAATTACAAAGAAGGCTTAAAAAATAATTAGAAAAATCAAACAAGAAGTACTTTTAAGAACAGCAAATATAAAGACCTGCTACAGTGAAAACCAAAGGCACCAACAGTGACCGATGCCTAGAAAAACTAATTATTTTTTGCACTGGTTTCCATGAGCTAGCATCCATTCTTCCTTAGCCTGTTCACAAGCATGACTCAGGAGCTGTCCCCAGATAAGGAACAATGTAAATAGCAGAGATCCTGCTTTCAAACAAATCCTGAAGTAACAGCTCTCGTGCTGACAACTGCATGCTTTTTCAGCTGGTACACTGCTACTGAGAGTCACTAAAACTCTCTTTCTCCTAGCTGTAAGCACACTCTCCTAGCAACTTTTTCTGAAGCTAGCTGCAAACAAGATCTGCACCTACAGGCAGGGCTAAGAGCTGATACACTGCACTGCAATTCAACCTGTGAGCAGGTGCTGTGGGTCTGGCTGATGTCTGGGTGAAAGCTGGGACTTGCAAACCAAGAAAGGACTCTTTATCATGAAAAACAGTAAGAACAAGGACTCTTCTGTATAGAACCCCTCACTCAAGCAGCAGAGAAACATATCATCATTTGTTTTTACCCTTAAGCCAATTTGCATCTATTAGTCAAGCAACACATTTCCACTGAAGTTTGCGAATCAATTAAGGAAACACATTTCCAGCCCTCACCATTACAAATGCCCACAAGCTACTTCTACTTCAGAGCAAGTCCTACAGCGGCAGCTTAACGAATTACGTGCCTAGCAACAAGTTAACACACACCACAAAAGACAGCAATAAATGCAAAGCAAATGAAAATGTACGGGTTGATTAACAGCAGAGTGTATTACAGGGCACGCAGGGGAGTTAGGCACATCCTTGTACTCCATCTTGCATCAACAAATGCAAGGACATCAAATAAAGTTGAGACCGAATGAAGTCAGTGCAAATTGACCCACCAAAGTTTTCAAGATCTTAGTTTTACCTCTGACATACACAATGCATATAAATGACATGACCTTAGATTTAACAATGTAAAATTATACCTTTGCCTTCTCTAGGTTTCTTCTTTATACCCAGGTCTGGAGATCCATCTGAAATGCTTGACTGTTGGCTCTTGGGTTTACGGCCAGCTGCACACACAAAACATGCAGGGAAAAATAAAAAGTATTAAACATATGCAGAATAAAAGCATTTTGCAGTTTGATTTTGCTGAAAGCAGCAGTTCATTCTTTTTTTTTTTTTTTAATGCTATTTCCTTGCTTCAAGTATGGATAAATTGACATTCTTAGATTACAACTATTGCACATCCAATTTAACGGATCATTCATCTGCTTATTTCATTGGCAGATTTAACCTCATTTCAGATGAATTACTGGCAGGTGAAGTATACACCACACATATGAAGTAAAACCACTGTATTTGCATTCCTTTAGTCACATGCCTCTTTTGCTCTGGAACTTACCACTCTTCTGCCTGCTTAGTTTTCAATATTCTAGCTCATGTGCCCATCAAAGCATCAGTTTTCCTATAAAATCCTACAGCTGAAACCACAAACTCCCACTTCCACTCCACATCTGCCCATTAAAAGCTACAGGCAAGCTTCCACTCAGCGTGCAGCCCCTGGGACACAGGTCGCAGGGTGGTGCTGGGGCTGCCCTGCCCTACAGCCCCCTGCTGTGCTCCTGTGTCAGGGAAATCCTCTCCCTTTCACACTCCACTGACCTTTCCATTGAGGTAAACGGGCCCAAGCAGGGGAGAGGATCATAACTTAGGGCAGCAGATTGTAAACAACCCTGGCTTCTGCTGTCACTTTGAGGAGAGCAGCAGCAAGTAACTCTCCTTCCTCAGGAACAGCAGCATTATCTTTTGCTGATGAATAATATTATTCAGTAAATGCTGAATTCAACAAGCTTTAATTATGACAACAGAAGTTATCGTTCTATTGCTGTATCTGAATGACCTTAAGCACTTTCAGCTTTCTGAGCCCAGCCCTGTAACATAACCTGCCCAGTAATGACTTTTCAGACAGACAGTGAAAAAAATACAGAAATGGTTTAAATCCAATATACAGCTATAAAGAAGCATTATCATTATTTTCCTGCCTATGTCAGTTAGGGCAGTTACAGCCATTTGTGACATGCACGTGACTTGATCAAATCTCAAACTCGTAGATCTCAGCTATATAATGCTTTATCATGACTCTGCAGTTTTTCTCCCCTAAACTAGAAGCAACTCTGCATACATACAGTTGGAAGCTCTAATAAAGTCCTCCTACGGTTAAGTGAATGTCTGCAAGCAAACTGCTAGACCAGATTGATACCAACCATTCAGAGCCATCTCGTTTGGTAGCTGAATGCTTAGATCTCATTCACTGTTCCTAATAGTGCCTCCTCCAAGACACACCAATCAGACAAACAAGATACTTCTCTCACCAGAAAGACACTGTACTGATTCTGTAAATCAATTTATGCACTTGTAAGCTAGTAACTTTCCTACTGTTTCATTCGAGGACTCCTGAGACTACCTGCTCTCACATGCCCATTCCAGAGAAATATTTACCCCCTTCAAGTCCTTTCTGAATTCTTCTTTACCCTTCCACCACTCTGCAGACTTCCACTTAACAAGGCACAGAACAGAAAAAGAAATCCTTTTCCTTAACAGTTGGTGAAACACACTCTCTCACTACTTTTGGTGTTGGCCTGTCCTCTAAGAACTCACATTTCAGACTTGAACCACACTGATAACATGAGCAGAGAAATCAGCTTATCTAACCTATCTGCATCCATATTGACTGCACCATCTGTGGCTGCCTGCATAAGAAATAAACCCTGAGGTAGCTGCTACGAGGAGCCATACACACCTTTTTTCTTCTTCATTCGTTCGTGGATGTCAGGGGATGTTCGAACAGGAGATGAATCCATGGGTTCAGATTCATCTGCTGGCACCTCTACCACAGTTTCTGCGATCACATCAGGTCTCATGGCTGCATGGATGAACTCTGGGGCTGATACACAAGGAGGGACCAAAACTTCCACTAAGAGAGGAAAAGGAGAAAAAAAGAAAAAATATGTTACAAAGTTTCTGCTTGACTATTCTAATCTCTCTTATATGAAATTGTTTTAAACAAAGCATGTGCAAAAATGTAGCAAGATTCAATTCCAACAAACTGCCATGTAGAAAATCAGTCGACTCCCCAAAACATGCACACCTGTAATCACTGTTGAGCATAAGACAGCTATATCAAAGCAATACTGTTCTGATTGAAGTTCAACTTTAAATTCAATTTTAACTGAAGAAAATTAGAGCTCAATCTCTGATTATTAGTTAATTGGGACCAAGAAATGGGACTGGTTTGCATCCCAAATTTCATTTCCTACTTTATAGCTTTTGGGTTCCAATCTGATCACGATTTCATCTGATGTATATTAAGTAACTTCAGAAAGAAGGTACTGTTAAAGGAATCATCAACACTGACTACTGGGTTTTTAAACTGGTAACAATTTACAACATCCTGTATTCAGATATTCTTTCTAAAACAAAAGAACAGATGAAAATAATTTTCCCTTGAAGTAACTATTCTAGCAAAGCAAAATGTCAGGTTCATAGCATCAAAGAACGACTTAAGTAGGACGAGATGCCTGAGGGCACCTGGCCCAACCTCTGCTCAAGCACAGAGGCCCGGAGCGGGGTGACCATGACATTCCAGTTAGTTACTAAGGATCTCCAAGGAGGACACTCCACAACCTCTCTGCGCAACCTGTGCCAGTGCTCCATCGCCAGCACAATAAAAAAGCGTTTCCTTATGTTCAGATGGAAAAGTGCACTTTAAATGTGTAACTATTCGAGTATGTGCAGCCAACAACATCACTCAGGTAAATGATATCACCTAAAAGCATGCTTTTTACAGTATGATGGTTTTGCTGATTAGTGGAAAGAAAAACTGCTTGAGGAGGAGAAACCGCAGCTGACATACCAGGACTCCTGGCATTTCTCAGGCAGGTAGGAGACTCCATATGAAGCAAGGCCTCTGCAGCTTCAATTGTCTTATCTGTGCAGTGTACATTGCTTCCGTGAACTGATGCTTCCACTGCAGAAGAATAAAAGTGTTATGAGACCAGATTAGTCATACAAGTCATTGAATCATGGAATGGTTTTGGTCAGAAGGGACCTTTAAGATCATCTAGTTCCAATCCCTCTGCTGTAGGCAGGGACACTTCCCTCTAGACCAGGTTGCTCACAACCCCATTCAGCCTGGCCTTGAACACTCCAGGCTCAAGTCCATACATATCACTGTACATCAGTGCTTTTCAATCTCAAACATGAAGATCAAGAAGTTGTCCAGTGTCTTCACACCTTTACACCTTACTGCCAACAGAAACGTTTAGGGAATACATGAGACAAGCAGCCAAAAAGAACCAACACTGTCTTCTGAGATCTCTGGCTCACAGCCACGCTCCCAGCTTCTATTAGGAGTTCAGGAGCTTACTGAAACAGATTTTTGAGGGTTTCTCTTCTACTTCCTATTTAAGCAAAATAAACTGGATTACAATGAAGATGGCTGTAAAATTACAGAGCAGTGAGAAGCAAGCCCATCTCCAACTGTGAACCCATTAAAACATAAACATCACTTCTCCTCAGATTTTCAACCTATTTAGATAAAGCGTACATATAAATACAAGATTAATTTGCAAAACAGTGATATCTTGTTTCCTAATACTGAAAACATTGGCAAGTTGGGTTTAACAGGCCTGATTGGTAATGAGAAAACAACAGAACCACAAAGCATTCAAACACTAAGAGGTGCTTTCTCTTAAAGAACAGCTGAGGGATTAAGGTAAAAAACTCTTTTTTCGAGTTCTGAAAACTGATGAACACTAAGTAGTTAAAGAAAACCAATATAAAGTGACTCCAAGGCAGACCATTCAGACCCAGCACAACAGCAAAAAAAAAAAAGGGAAGCCCAGGCATTCTGGATGCCAGCTGCGGTGCTGCCAAGGTGCTGCTCTGTGTGCAGACTGCGCAGGGTCCCAGGCAGCACAGCCACCTGTCCCGTGTCACCGCAGCACAAGGTGCCAGCTCCTGCAGCTCAGCTCACCATTTAAGGCAATGTGTCTCTCCGGGTGCCCGAGCTGCAGCCAGACAGCCAGGCTATCTTTAGCTGCAGAGAGGTCACCTGTCTGCAGCCCCTGCCATCCGAGGGGCATTCGGTGAGCGTTCTCCATGAGAGCTCTGAGGCACCTATCCTGTTACCACAGTGTATGAGAAACAAGTGATGGCTGCATGCTGGAAAGCAGGAAAATACCACTGCTGCTACTTCCACCTCGGGAAACCCTACAGAAACTGATCAGTGCAGGCACACGTGGGGAAAAGCTAGCAAATCAGAATTTAAAAGTAAGAACTAGAAGCTTTAAAACCCTACAAACAAACACAGAAGTTAGCAACACCTGGAAAAAACAAAACTTCTAGCAGAATGAAACCCTCCACTGAGCCAACCCTCTGCCACTGCCCTACCCAGATGCTATTTAGGGGGCTCTATCTCCTGCAGCAGTAGGTGCCTGATAAGGCTGGCATTCCAGCACAGGGCAACAACAAAAGCTTTCCCTGCGGGCACGGAGAACCGTGCCAAAGGACAGGTTGTTACCTGCTGTGTCCCAACAGCCCTTCCCAGCAGCAGCTTGGGGCGGTCCCAAGCCCTGGGGTACCTGCACCCACAAGAGAGGCCCTGCAGGCAACATTCTACCTGAGCGCTCCTCCTTCCCAAGGGAAGTCTCAGCCACACACAAGCAAATGACTGGCTCATCTGGGACAAGGGCAACAAGGTCACTCAGGTGCCTCTATGTACCTTTCCAACACCACTCCAGCACCGTGCCAACCGGGGAGAGGAGGGGAGAGGAGGCCCCAGCTCATGGGAGCTGCAAGGCACCTGTGAGATGTGGTGGGTAACCCTACTGCACTGACACATTGGGAAAAGCATCAATCCAGATCTCAGTGCCAATTTTAAATAAAAGCTCTTTTGGCCACTCTCAAAAACATCCGGTCAACAGATGACTGCAAGGGCAAGTACAGATGGACAGGCTCACTAAGAGGGTGGGATGTGCAGAAGGTAGAGCCATCAGCCCAGTTCCCCTGTACTGCAACATTGGGAGTGCTCCTCATGAGAGGCATGGGGGAGAACTGCACCCAGAGGAGCAGCAGTGCTCACCTGAATGCCAACTGCAGCCAAAAGACACTGCCATGGGAGATCACTGAGGTTCCTCACCATGCAGCATCCCTGCAGCTCACACTAACACGGGCTGCGGCAGCCCATGGCTGTGGGACACCACATGTGTTTCCACTCTTTTAACCCAAATCTCATCCTGTTGTTTTCATGAAGTAATATGATTCTAGGGCACTTTTTTTGGCACACTTCACATTAAAATGAAGTTTTCTGGTCTGTTTTACAAAAGAAGAAAAACATCTGCTTATAAAATAATCTATGTTTCTACCGGAAAACAGCTCTCCTTTTTTAAATGGGAAAACAGGCCACCTGATGATCATCTCCAGTGCTGACTGAACACCTCCCAACCCCACTCTCCTTCCCAAACAAATGCTGCGTGCTGCATGTATTCAAGGCTCCCAGCTGCTGTCGCAAAAAGCCCAACTTGGTTGGTAACTAAGCCCAACAGGGCTGCAGCTGAGCTTCACAGCAAGAAGCACCAGCAACCCGCACCTTTGGGAACAGTGCTCCCAGGATGGGAGCAACCACGGGACTGAAGACACAGGAAGAGCTAGACCACGGTTTCTAAAACAGAGCTTTGTGATGCTGCAGTGCAGCAACCTCCCTTCACCTGCACAAGGTCAGCACGGAGCTGCAGCCCCAGGGCTTACAATGGCTTATCCCTTAATGCTGCCAGGCACCGGTGCAGTGCTGCGATGAGGGCTTCCCAATTCCAAGCACGGACGGCGAGCAGGAGCAGCCCCACGGGCATTAATGCACCTCCCAGAAGTTCGCCGGGTTCTCCTATCAGCATTTAAAGGAGCACAGCGAACAGCAGCGCTGTCAGGCCGTTCTCCGGCTGACTGCAGACGCTCTCGTAGACGGCAACCGAGCCGGCCCCAAACGGGAACAATCCGGGCCCAGCTTTCGCCTCCCGCTACCGACCACGCCGCCGTACCGCAACACGGCAGCCGGCGGGCACAGGAAGAGGCCGCAGGGCGGCAGATGCCCGCGGCTCCCGACGGGGACGACCACGTGCGCCCGGCGCGGCGTCGCCGCCACTTCCGTGTTTACACTCCGCGCTCCTCCGCGCCGCCGCGCGCCCCGCCAACCCGCGGGGAGCCGCCGCTCCGCCGCCCGCCGCGCGCCCATTGGCGGCCGCCGCGCCCCGCCCCGCCGCCCTCCATTGGGCGCGCTCCGGCCGCCGCCCCCGCCCTCCCCCACCCCCCCGTGCCGAAAGCGGGGGGCGCGGGGCCGCTTCCGCCGCGCGGTTCGGGGGGGAGGGGGACCGCGGCCGCCCCGAGCCGCGCCGCACACGTGGGCCGCGCGCGCCTCCGCCCGCGCCGAGTTTAAAAGGGCACCCGGGCGGAGAAGGGGAGCGTGGGGCCGCGCCGCGACTCCGGGCCCGTCCGCGCGGCGTGGCGGGAGGCGGGCGGACGGCGGCCCGCGCGCTTCCTGGTTGCCGCCGCAGCCCCCCGCCCGCCCGGCACCGTTCCGCGGAGCCCCGGAGCCGGGCGTGTGCCGCCGCCGCCCGCGCAGCCCGTTTCCTGCCCGGTCGCGGCGCGCCGCGCTCCCCAACCCCCCCCCCCCCGTCCCGGCTTACCGGCGCGGATGAGGAGGTCGAGCTGGTTGGTGGGCCCCTCGTGCAGGGAGGTCGCCATGTTGACGCTCCCGCCGCGGCTTCGCGCTGCCCGCCGGGCGCGCGGGGCGGGGGCCGGCGGGTCGCTGCCGCGGGGCGGGCGGCGGGCGGGAGGCAGGGCCGGGCCGGGCGGGCGGGCGGCGCGGGCACCGCGGCGGCGCTTCCTGCGGGGCGGCGCGGCGCACGCGATCCTTCCGCCGCCGGCCCCAGACAGGAAGTGCCGCGCCGGCACTCGCCGCCGCCGCAGCGCGGGGCCGCCCGCGGGCGGGGGAAAGCGCCGGGGCCCCGCCGGCCGCCCGCCTCCCGCCGGCGGCGGGGCAGCGCCGCCCGCAGCGCGGGGCCGGCGGGGGCGGACGGACGAACGGACGCCGGGTGCCGCGACGCCGCCCCGACCGCGCGGAGCGCCGCGTGCAGGGCCCGCACGGGGACTCCCGCGGCCGCGCGTTTCCGACCCTCCCTCGATGACGCAGGGGGCGAACCGCCGCTTTGTGCGCGGAGTTCAGACTGCCCGCGGCCCGGCGGACGAGGGGAGAGGCCGCGGCTGCGAGCGGCCGCCTCCCGTCCCGTTTTAGCATCCCTGCGACGGCCGCGAGAAGCGCGAGTCGGAAGCGTTCGGAATAAAAGCCCGCAACTGCTCAGCACCTCGCATCCTTCTGAGGGCCCCCTACTCCTTCTGCCGCTCTCACGGCTTTTTAGGAGCGCAATTTCACGACCGTATCTCTCTCCACACACACACACACCGGTAGGGCACCGCGTTCAGCCCCGCACACGGGCAGCGCAGCGCTCGCTCCTCCCGGCAGCGCGTTCCCGCTAGGGGACACCGCCGCCTTCCCCAGCAGCAGCGCTGCCCGCAGGGCCGGGCCCAAGGACACGGAAAGGCACCGCGCGGGCACGCAGCTCCCTGCCCAGCCAACCCTCCTGAAGAAGAAAGGCCGCTTTTCCCCTGCGGTTCCTTGGGTTTGAACCGCGTGGTATTGCGGTATTTTATGCTGAACGCTAATTGATTTGTCCCGCTAATCTAATCTTACTATTTCAAGTTGGGGGGGACATACAGTCGCTAGGGAAAAAAAAGCAAGCGTGCACTTTTTAATCTCTTTAAAAGCCTCCAGCCCAGGCAGCAGGCTAGCAACAGGACTGCAAAAACATTCTATGAAACGATGGGAGGCTCAAAGAGGCAAGAAATGGTTACACTGCAGAATAGGACCACGTGAAGATGAACTTCCATTCCTCCATGCTAATAAATAAATACAGG